TGAATGTCTCCCGCACCGAAATACGTTTTAGGAGGATGGACATTAATTAAAGACATATTTGTTCAACATATATTTTTAATACGAAAGATTTAATACAAGGAGGAAATTTGTTGTTTGAGACAAAATTGGCCACTTTGGGGATGAGAGATGTTAGCGCAGAGAAGAAACCGTCTCCTTCGAATTTTTTTTGTTCGTGTTTTAAAATCAAAGACATTTTTAATGCGGTTATTTTATACTGTATTATTATTAGTGATTCTTGTCTGTGGTTTTGGGGTAATTTATAATACAGTTTGGAGGAATCTGTTATAATACAGTTTGGGGAGTCTGTTATAATACATTTTAACAGTTGTGTCTTTTCGGATATGACGCATTGAAAAAGCTGCGCATGCGCAGAAGTGAAATGCGTCATATCCGAAAAGACATATACTACTCAAGTCATATCGCAAACCCAGATTAAAGCTAATTATATATTTACAGGTAGTATAGTAGATATAACTGGTACATATCAATATACTATGTATATGTCAGGTTAGTAAATTTTATACACACACATAAAATTTGCGTCATCCATGTCTGTCCACAATTGCTCGTAAACACTCTAGTAGGCATAATTTTGGTGTATTTTGTGTAAGTGCTTATTATCACCCAAGGATGATCCCTATTGAAAATCAGAAAAATATCTTATAGGAATTTTTTGCCTTTTTCTTGAAAACGCGTTCGATTTTTAACTCTTCATGGCACAATTCTTAATGGGTTTTGACGAAACATGGTGAAATGATTTATTATCATCCAAGGATGAAAAATCGAAATATATTTAATATGAGTCATTGCCTTTGTTCAATTTTTGGTATGAAAAAATTCTAGAAGTTACCATTCTGGCCAGATTTCTTTTTTTGAAAAAAACTTGATAATATTATTCCAAAAAGTTGGAAAGGAGTGTATGACTAAAGGTTAAATATTTCATACTGGTGATTGTTATTGTACTACCAAATATTTTTTATCTAAAACCAAAGCTACTAGTGGGCGTATATAACCTTGCCTGGCAAGTTATCGTTAGAATTTGTACTATAGATATACAACTTTTTAAAATCATTTGAATATATCTTTGAATGCATTGATGGTGTGTAATAATAATGTAAAGGTACTCAAAGGTTCATTAACATATGTAGATAGTCTGTCTAAAAGCAAAATTAACAATTTTAAGCCTAATTTCCCTTTTGTTTGTTTCAGGTAGCGTTGTGATAGCAGCTTCGCTGGTGAGTTTCTGTATTCCACTATTAAAACCTCCAAACTCGCCGTTGATTGGTTACCATCCTGAACAAGAACCAATAGATATACAGATAAACGAAACGAGTTGAAGATTCTTACACGCTAGCTTTCGTGGTGTCTTTCGTGTGTCACCCACCTAAATAATACATAGCTGTATCTGATAAACAATCGATATAATGACCATCGAAACTGTCAGCTGTCAACTTGCTTTGGATCAAAATCTCTCATTATTGTGTCGCCTTGTAAACTGTTGATTAGAAATATGTTATAATTTGGATAGAGACGTTTCGTTTTCTTTTATTCAGATTTCAAGGGTGCTATCTATGGATTTTGAACGTGCATGGTGTATACGACGACTCGATTTATTGACCCATTCGAACGAATGAACTTGTTTTCCATGTTAGTCAGCCCGACCAGCATCACTAACAGGGAGAAACATGATTTGAAAAAATCCGAAGGTTAATACCTCCGAACTTATCCTGGATTGAATCCTGGCCACATATTCTCGAAACGATCTTAGCGCTTGTATGTCATAGAATCAATGTTAGAAGATAAGAACATGGGACATCCTAGCGCTAAGATCGTCTCATCACTGAGCTACCGCGACCCATGACATCGAATAACAACTTATGAAAAATGTTATGAAATGTGTCCACGTTCGCATTTTCCTTACAAGATATCAACTCTCATTATACATAGGATGAAAAATGTTCCCAATATTTTAGAATTATCGCCATGATTAGGCCTACAGATGGGAAATTATTGTATGCAAATCACTAGTTATGTTGAACAATTACTTACTCTCTTTGTAGTCTGTATTATGGGAAGTAACTTCTATTTTTCATAAAGTTATTCTAGTAGAAATTTTGAACTGATTTACACTCTTCTTATTACTCAAGAAAAATGCATCAGGTGTTAGAAATATTGTTATGGTCTGTATGAAATTGGATTATATTTTGGACAGAGAGAAGTTTTAGGATTTTGCCAAATATACGAAAGAAACGTGTATCTTTAAAAATGTGTGGCAAGGCCTTTTGTACAGTGTATTGTCGCAATACGAAAGGCAATTGGTAAATTTCAAGAGCAAGAATATGATTTATAAAAACATGCCCAATCTAGCAATCATCTATCATAATGTATATCAAGAATAATCCTCATTTCTTAACTATCGTGAAATTTTGGTTTTACCTTTATTGTTTGTATAGATATCAAAGTCTAGGTTGGCTAGATTCAATGTTGGTTGGTTGGTGATAAACGATGTTGGCGGTTCGAGGTCTGAATATCAACTGATTGATGGGCGTGACTTACATGACTTTTATACTGTGTGTGCGGCGGCCATATTTCTTCAACAAATATGGCCACTGATAGTATTAAATATGGCGGACAGGCGGTCGTAATATATTTTTATATATAATTAATTTTAGCCTAGTTAGAGCATGATAGCTTTAATGACTAACATGAACACATTTTTGGTCAAACGCTAGAAAAAGAGTTAACAATTTAGACTATAGTGATTTACCTCTTCATTGTCCTTTTGAAAATATCTCATTCAAATATTTGATTACACGTATTCTAATAGGTGATGAGTAGGCATTCACATCACATAAACACTTATTAGAAAGTCCACACCACACAATGAGATTGGGGTTGCCCAGCAGATTAGAAAGATTCGAATTTGCCAGGGAAAATAACCACTTTCATTTTTTAATTAACAACGTATACAACATATCGTTTCAATATTTTTTTATTAACAACATTCAATTTTTTTTTATCAACAACGTACACAGCATATCGTGTCCTATTATCAAGCCTAACCCTAATATCATAGCAATGCCATGATAAAAGACATTTGAATTTCGTTGTATGAAATGACTTACTATAAATAAGCTATTTTCGTACATCTATATTAAGTAATGTTGAGGCGGGATGTGGATATGGATATGTGGAATATAGCAGTAATTGGCACAAAGTCGCTTGGAAAGCAAGCGTGTGATTTTTATATTTTTTTTTTTTGTTTAAATTGTATTCGTCTTATAACCCACTGACGAAAAGTATTTTTTTCGGCCAAGTTTGAAAATTTAATTTCTATTTTAATTCTTAGAGGTTGAATTCCTTTAAAGGTGCAGTTGCACCATTTTGTTGGGTTGATTTGAGTCTTGAATATTTGTAAATAGTCTTCAGAAGTTCAAAAATAGCGGATGAATTTGGACACTCTTGGATTTAAAGGCTCAAATTTCGACGGTGAGCCGCGGGTTGAGGCATAGCTGAAAAAATCCCATTTCTGCGATTAAGGTACGGTTGGTAAAAAAAAATAGCGCCATGGGTCCTTTAAGTTGTCTGTACGTAAACGTCTATATAAATATAATAATAATCGTTATGGTCTAAAGCACACATATAGACATGTCTCCTAGTATCCCTAACCAGCAATAAACCATTATTTTTAGAAATTGTTAGATGCTTCTTAGGCATTTGATGCACCTCTTGGTCAGTATTATTATACAGCATTGGAATGTTGGCTAATAGAACAACAATGACAGAAAAGATTTCATAACATCACATGTATTCACCGAGTATACTGAAAGCTGTAGATATGTAACGAAAAACTAGCTAGTGAAATGCATTGACGTTAACCTACATGTCAAGTGTACTAGCTCTGATGGTCAATATCAGTATGCATAGATGTGTTTGTTTTGTGTAAAATATATATCGTTAAGGTCGTAATTTTAATGCGCCAACATGAAATGGGGGGGGGGGGGTGTATATTGTCGTCACCCTGTCCCTCAGTCGGTCCGTCCGTCCACAATTGCTCATAAAAACTCAAGAAAGACCAATTCTTGACAGATTTTGATGAAACTTGGTAATATTATTTAGTATCAGAAGAAGTGTATGTCTTAAGGTTGAATATTTCTTACTGATAATTGTTACTGTACTGCCAAATACTTTTATTTAAAATCAAAGCTGTCAGTGGGCGTATATGACCTTACCTGGCAAGCTATCTTCATAAATGTATTCTAAAAATTCAAAAATTGTAAATGTAGGGTTATTGGGTATGACAAGGCATCTGTCATACATCATCACTAGTGGTACAACAGGGGCTATCTAGCTAGGACTATCAACTTTCTTCCAACATGAGGCACGAAAGACTGGCCAATACTTAGTATCTCTTCAAAAATTCCATATATTATGATTACCATGAAAATTTTGAATTGAATGTAGAACACTACCGGTAACCAACATCCCCTTGGCAGTGACTGCTCACAAAACGACTTTTGAAATTATCCTTCCGCCTAATAATTATCTCACAGATGAAAATGTAAATTTCAGTCCTATTCTGATTCAAGACCAAATATTAGTCATATGAAGGTATTCTAAAATTCCAAAAAGGGAGAGAGATTGAAGGCTGTTTAGCAAGGGCTAAATTTGTACACACTCATTTGCATAAAATGTTTTAGTGGTCAGAGTCTTAAACACAAAAAGATTTTTCTCCCGTGCGCAAGTGGAGTCTCAGCCAATCACATGCCTTGTTAGATAGCACATTTAAAGAAATTGCGTCTATTATGGCAGACGAGAACGAGTTGTTACACATAAACATATATATCAACAGTCTTTTTTTCAAGGACTCTACTATGTAATCAAATCACTTCATTTGCAGACTTCTGTAATACAAGAAGAGTACCAAATGATACCAATGTATTGAACAGAAGTCGTAATAGCTTGATATTTTGATGATATTCTTGGGAATTCTCAATACCGTTACATAACTGTAAATTTTAGTGTTGAACGGATGCTGACTTACAGAGGTTGGACTTTATTCTCTTTATGACCTCTGTTAAATTATTATTAATACAACTGCCAATGTGATTACACATCTAGATGTTTGGTATGCTGTTAAAGGGGAGCAGTCGACATTTTCGGTGTTGATTTGGGTTTTGAATATATTTATTTAGATAGTCTTCAAAAGTACTAGAATCGCACAATCTCTTAAAATACACCTCAAACTAAAAGTTTCTCCTATTTCTATATATGTCTTTCCTATATATAGTAGAATCTCAAGAAAAGACAAGTCATCATTGTAACATTCAAACGAGGAAATTTCAGATCACACATGGATTTGAAGACTCGAATTTCGACATAAGATGTTAACACTACTACTGATTGGCTTAGCTAAATAATTCCCGTGACGAATATGTGACGAACGTGTCTCTTTGAGTGTAGTCAGCCAGTTTCAGGTTAATTTTAGCGACCTATATAGATCCTATCGTTCTGAATATTGAGCATTGCTATAAATTATGCTTCATATCCAAAGCTATACCCAAACAGTCTAAATGATTTAACCTAAATCGATGACACATGAAATATAAAATGGAACTGAACAATTAATGGAGCATGATTGAAGGCAACTCAGATAGTCAATAAAAATGCGTGGAAACTGCCTTGAATTCCAGGCTTCGCAGTAATTCTCTGGTTTTTTGCTACAGTTATTCTTAAAAATAAGTATTTGATATGATTAAATAAAAACATGTCCGTAATACTAGTTTTATTTAAATATATCAAAATGTGTGTGTGTTTTCATTGCTTTAAATTGGTGCATAATGTCACTTTGAGAAATATATCATTGAAATACGTAATGTATTCTAATACATTACATCGCTTAGATCTAACAGACTGTGACGCTTATTGTGCATAGAAAATTATCAGCGCGGAATTCTAATCAATAGTATCAAAAGGCATCCATTGTTCATGGTTTGTTCGCCTGTTTCCGTTCACACTTTGGTCGAGCAATGAAATAATGGAATATAAGATAAACTATTAGTGTTTGCTACTATTGACTTTTTTGTACGATGTTTAGATGTCGAGTCTCTGAAGACTGCTGTGAGATGCCGTGGTAAGTGGTATGCTTCATGGTTTCATACTTTAATCGTCAGGACTAAGAAATATCTTAAATGTTAACGGTGTACAAATAACAAAAAGAGACATCAATAGATTGAATATGTTAGATTTCGTGTTTTATTAGCAGTTAGTATGAATGAATGAATAGGATCAGGACTGACATCTATCGGGCGAATGTTTTAAGCTATGTTGGCGCAGTTACTTTAATCCTTTACTTTACAAAAATTGCAAACATAGAGAATGACCACAAATTAAGACTAATTTGTTTATCATGTTCACTTGATGTTGTGCTTAAAAGGATACAAACTCTTAGAATGGACATCAAGTTTAAAGTCTCAAACTTGGCCAATAAGATTATATATTCATCAGTTAAACCTACCAGGTGCCATGACTTAAGAATAGTATCCCTATATAAAACTATATATTCATTAAATTGAATAATTATTGAAACGCGCTAATGAACATGTTTCAAAATTACTTACTTTAATGAATTATTATTAAGTTGTATGGATTAATGGATTATAGAGGGTTCTTTCGTATAGCTATGACACCAGTTTGGTCATCCTATGAGGTAGTATACCTGTAATATCATACTATATCAGAGCGCGGACGTATGAGTAAACATATGTCTATAAACGGAAAGTAGCATGGATCGTAGTATTTTACCCGAAGGAAGGTTATTGAATAGGATAGGTGCTGTGTTCAGGTATATGTGAGGTGTTTCAGCCTAACTTGTATTATTCAGTTCCTGAGGCAATATTAACTTACAGTAAATATTTATTCATGCGGTTTTCTGGGGCAGCGTGATATAGTGATTTCTTCAGAATATTATTCAAAATTATCTCCTGCTTTTCTCATTTAATATCTGTTAGTACACCAGGCGATACTTTGTAACAGGTGATATAAATTATTAAGGAGAATGGAAGATGTTAATGATAGAGACGAAGGATGGGCTTGGATTGTTTTATTAGCAGCCTGTATGAATATTCTCTTAGGATCAGGTTTAGCTTTTATCGGTGGAATGTTTCAAGCTGTGTTTTTAGAACAATTTAAAGAAAGTGTTGCTTATACGGCTTGGGTTACTGCTTTATTCTCATCTCTCTTACAACTCACAGGTATGTATGCACCATTGTTTAATCGAACCATTTACATGAAAATCGTGGTATTGTTCTCAGTTTATGGATGACATGTGTGGTCACCAAGCACCCATACACTAAAACTGAAACCAAGTATATGGCTATGCATTTTTAGATAGTAGACATATAACCTATACACTCGACAAAATATAACCTCTATCCCGGGCAAGTTTTGATATACACAAAGCTGCACAACTAATATTCACGAAAGCTTGTGGTTACATGTCATATGACAGCTATGTTTTGTGTTTGTGTTTCATACTGATATAGTTGTGCGTGGAATTGTTGTAGCGAGTAATTTGTCGTACTTAAAGGTCTACTGCATATTAATGACATTATAATATTTATTATTCAGGTCCTCTAGCTAGCCTAGTAGCCAATTATTTGTCCTGTAGATCTTCTGTTATGATTGGATCTGCTCTGTTATCATTTGGCCTTATATTGAGTAGTTTTGCTAACAATATCGCTGTTTTAATGGTTACGCTAGGCGTCACTGCAGGTAAATATAAAAATACATTTGTCACTAGTTTACGATACGAGCTCGTTATAACGCTATATTGTATTTGCTATTAGGAAGATGGCTTACCAGACAAGGTAAACGTATGCCCATTTAGCAGGTTTGTTAAATCATTGCATATAATACCAAGTGGCAATAACTGTGAAACCATAGCTTTTATTGAACTCACAAACAGATTTTGACACCTCTTTACATGTCATATGTCCACCTTACCATAAATATAAGATATATATATTAAAAGCTTATAGAAGATATCACAACAGATATGGAAGGGAAGCTATATTACAAATGAACAATGACAGCAAATATCAGAAGGTGTCAACAAACTACCATTTTATCCTAAATGTCATGCTACAGATAGTGGAGTGAAATTTACCACACCCACAGGGCCTTTATCTAAATAATTCTATATAATAATATATATATTTTTATACGCCCACATGAAATGAGGGGCGTATATTGTCGTCACCCATGTCCGTCGGTCCGTCGGTCCGTCCGTCGGTCCGTCCGTCGGTCCGTCCACAATTGCTCGTAAACACTCTACAGGGCACAATTCTTGACGGATTTTAACGAAACTTATGTGTGTTCGCAATCACCCAAGGATAAACCCTATTGAAAATCAGCGAAATCGAAAAATATTTAGTATGAATTATTGCCCTTGTTCTTGAAAACGTATTCAATTTTTAGCCCATAAACACTCTAGAAGGCACAATTCTTGAAGGATTTTAACGAAACTTGGTATGAGTGTTCGTAATCACCCAAGGATAAACCCTATTGAAAATCAGTGAAATCAAAAAATATTTAGTATGAATTATTGCCCTTGTCATTGAAAACGTGTTCAATTTTTAGCTCGTAAAGACTCTAGAAGGCACAATTCTTGAAGGATTTTAATGGAACTTGTTATGAGTGTTCGTAATCACCCAAGGATAAACCCTATTGAAAATCAGCGAAATCAAAAAATATTTAGTATGAATTATTTCCCTTGTTCTGAAAACACGTC